GTTGGATTCTTTTGTGGAGTGCAGAGGGACTTTGATGATTTAATTAAGCACTTGTTAACAAGGAAACATCCTTTACTGTAACTTGGCGTAAAAATACCTTTCAATACATTGTTTGCTTGCAGCAAAACTTAACGAAGAATGCTTTTCAAAGAAACTATATATGTAAGTCTAACAAGATTATGGTGTGGGAATTGGTAAACTTCGATAAGGACTAAGGGAAATTTAATGTTCTAAAATGACAGGATGTTGTTTTTGGCACTGAAATGTAAAAAAAAAAAAACAACGTAGAGAAAACAGAAACACTTTGACATTACAGCATGCAAGAGAATCTTTTCTGACAGGCATTTCCTGTTTGTGGCATTTGGTGTTGGAAGGTCCCATGAAAGGCAGAGCTGATTGATCATGCCACATTCTTCTACTTTAGCATCTCCTTGAAGCTGGAATAACACAGAATGAAAACATTGTATCTTATTCATGAACAGAATTACCTTGGTTGCTGTTTTATAAAAAGTTCAGCTCATTATGTCAGAAATGGAACTTGTAATAGAAAAAGTGGTCTCACTGTGTTTCTCATTTACCTTCATTATGGTGTCTCGGACATCGAGGTCCGAGCAGTCGTGTATTGTCACAGGAGCACTTTCCAATGAACCCTCAAAGAGAATGTGAATAATGGCAGGGCTAAGTCCTGGGAGTCTGGGGCCGCAATGCAAGAAGGAATGGCCAATCATACGGCCTGCGACTGCAAACATGTTATTGTCCAGTAGTTCATCAGAAACTGAGGGGATGAGGTGATCGGGCTCACCTTCGAAGACTTTGGTAACAGCAACTTTTCCTGCAACAATTATTGATTGATGGTTGAGAAAACAATGAAAGCATATTCAATAGGCTGGCTCCACTAGACGGTTTTAGGCCAGATTTGGGGCCCGATTTTGTGGGGGAGAGGGAGTTTGAGGCGTGTCGCAACTGATAATCCCCAAGTGTGTGGTGTCAACACGATTATATACTGCTCTCAATCCAGTCAGAGCATTCCTGATCTGGAATCATGAATTTCAAACATTTTTAATGTTAATGCTTTGTGGGTCTTGTGGTCTGGCTGAATCGTCTATTATGTGTGTGCGGAGGATTATAACGTTAAAAATCACTTTCAACTGTCCTTAGGTCTGTAGTCTCCACATTTTTAAAATCAGTTAAGAATTGAAAAGTGTCTTGTATGTAGCCACCCTAAAACAATAATCTGATGAGCTTAGATCTCAGACATATCATTAAGACAGATCATTCAAATAAATTCACAGTTTCCCTCCCTTTTAATACCCCCCTCCCCCACCCAAAAAACAAGGTATGCATTACACTGTAATTAATTATTTAATTGACCTGAGATGTTGTTGCATGTATTCTAATGTAGTGACCAACCTAGGTTTATATGGAATCCATTCATTAGCCTGAAAATTACTGTTGACATCACATGACGGTCAACCCCACTTCCTTTTGCAACATCACCTGTGAAGAAAACACACCTAATGTTAGTATTTTACATAGCTTATAAGTAATACTATTTAATTTACAACAAAAGAACCTCGGAGTGTGCTTTGTAGTGATGACGTCCATCGGACATTGTCTTTTTTGTAGAATTGGACTAACGCTCGGTCTTGCTCCTCCCTGTCTTGTCTGATGTCCAAACTCAGAAATAGAGTGTTTGAATCTCTGTCCCTGTGGAGGAGGTCTTGTGAAAATAGCCAACCAGCTTCTTTTGGGTCTGACACTGTTCTCCACTCTGACAAAACATCAAAAAGTGCAAAGCAAGAGAATAAATGAAGCTTCAGGGGACACAAAGTACTTTATTTTATTTTTTTAAAGACAAGAATAGATTAAATATGCGTGTACCCCTGTTTGTCCTTTTTTCAATTTCCTCTGTTTCTTCTATTGACCGAATCATGATGGACAGTCTTATTCCAACAATCAGAGAGGAAAGAATTAATCGTTACATATGAGATAGACATCAAGCAGAGAGAGCAACTGTCTGTGTACTACAACACTGTGTTTAATTATTTCAATTTGCAAAGCTTCTGTCCTAGAAATATGCAGCATTATGACCTTTGGGTGAGTCTATTCTATTTGGTTAGTCAATTGTATCTTTCAAAAAATCCTGTGTTAATGTACAAAGTAAAGCTGCTCATTGAAATAAACCTGCAAGTTTTGTGACAGAGTGTAGCCGCTCTCTCTAGGGTGAAGTTATGAAGTTAAGAGGAGGACAGAAAGAACAACATGACATGAAGAAAAAGAAACAATATGTAATGTAAGTAGTAAAGCAGTATTTCCAGCTGTTCCTACCTGTGTAGATCTATGGAAGCCTCTTCTGTGTGTCTTGTGTTTGCTGTCTTTGCTGTTATACAGGGTGGGTGGAAACCCCAAGCTGCCTGAGCATGTTTAACTTGTCATTAGAGGTCAAGCTTCGCCTAAGGCAGCTGTGTCTTTTAAGTTTGAAATTCTTGTTTTAACACTTAGCTTCGTCTGCTAATGCCAACAGGTCAAACAGGACTGGATCAAATAGATGAAAAATTGACTCAACCCCATAGATGAACTATGGGGTTGAGTAAAAGTGGGTCTCCCGCTTAATTGATTTTCTACAAGTTTTACAAGCGCCGCCTTTCTTTCTTTAAGAAAGAAAATTTGGATCAGTAGCTAGCTTTAAAAATCCTCTTCGACCAACTCATAAGACTGACGCAAGTCATGTAAATTCTTTAGATTTCTATTATTTATTATCCTACAGAAGGAGGTGATGCCTCGTTTAGTCAATTGTTAGGACTTATGCTTCTGCAATGCCATGAGGAAGTATGGAGGGACCACAGGCCAGTTTAACACTCTCACTCCCTCCGCAAAGCTGAAATCTCTTTACCACATCTGTTCTGACCACATTTTTGTAGAAAAACTAACAATGATTTTGCAGCTGGTGTTCTTCATTAAATCTGTCAAGACAGTCCCAGACTGACTGAATCCTCATAGGCTGGGTTACACCAACTTCCAAGGGTCTCAACTGAGCCAACAGATAATAATCCAAGTTAGAGCCACACGCCCCCCCCCCCCCCTCTCCCTTGGCTGCTTGAGTGAGGCTGCTAAAATGTGTGGGTCATCATCGAATAAACTAACTTTAATACATCTGTTATTCTAAACAAGTCATTGATATACAGAATGAATAATATTGGTCCTAACACCGTTCCCTGAGGGGCACCACATGGAATGCCAAAGTAATCAGAGTCAAACTCTGCCATTTTCACGAATTGCTTCCTGTTTTTTAAATAGCCTCTGACCCAATATAAGACTACCCCCTAATCCCAGAAGGCTGACTCACTCATTGTAAACCAAATCTACCTACGGGTACAAATCAATTTACCTTACCTTACCTATCCCATGTCTTTCTAGTTCATTGATTAATAATTTGTGGTTAAGTGTGTCAAATGCTTATTTTAGGTCAATAAATTCTGTTTGAACATTCTGAATGTTTCTTATTGTCTTGGGAATTAGTTATTTCTTGAGTTCGGCTAGAGCTAGTGATGTTGATCGATTTGTTCTGAATCCATATTGACTCTCAAAGAGTAGATTGTGTTGGTGTTATGAATTTGTCGACTCTGCTACTGAAATGTTTTTCTATGACTTTGGAGAATTGTGGGATTGTTTATGATGAGTTTATTTTAACTAAACAGAACTAATGATAGTAAGAAATTCCCTGAGCAGTAAGACAAATTAAAGTTCCTGATGAACACCACAACAAGATTTTTAGTTTTTGCCTTCATCTGAGAGGACAGTGGATAGTGTAGGGAGAGAGAGCAGGGAATGACATGGAGGGAAGGAGCAACATGTCGGACTTCCTGGGCCGTCCGCTTTGAGGACTAAAGCCTCAGTACATAGGGCACGACCTAACTGCTATGCTATCTGCGCCCCAACCAGTTGTATTTTTTCTAAATCCATATATTATCCTCAAACACAAACATTACTACAATTGTTTAATTTTATTGATGCTATTTAATTTGTATTTATTTATTCATTAATATTATTGTAATGTCTTTTGTTTGAGAGTTTGCCTTCATCCTGTGAACAGATGATAGTAGAGACATACTGGAGATAGCTATATGTTTTAATGTACTGGTAAATGTTTTTGCCAAGGGGTTTTCAACCTCTGCAAGTGAGCCTATTCTGTGTGCCACATGCCATACCTCCTCTGAAGTCCTCACTGTTTGAAAACAACTGTTATAGTCTATATACGATTGATTATATTCAGTTCTATCATTACATTTTTTGACTGTATGAAGACAAGAAATCATGATAACCAGGTCTGTATCCTCTCAATGCATTTTTTTTTGCATTATTATATGCATCTTTTCTAATTTGATATTTATGTGATCTTTCAGTTAAGCTGCCTCTACTTTTGGATACACTTTTGAAGCAGGATTGGGAACTCTGATGCCATCTAGTGGTGATAGTGTCATCACATGGCAGGCATATAAAAGACAAACCCAAATGTAAGTGTACTCTGGTTTTCGCTGAGTGGCAGTTAGATAGAAACCTTTGCAGGGAAATGTTTACTTCCTCTTAGCTATATTAACCTTTATCTTTTTCTCTTAGTTCCTGATCAGTATGTCTTATGTCCTTGGTACTTATCATCTCATCTCAGTGAAAGCACACATCTGAGGCCTCATGTTGCAGGGCCCCCCCCCCCACCCAAAAGCCCCTCATGGTGACAGTGACACAAGTGTCCCTTTGTCAAAACGGCGTCTGTCATGGTCTGCCCCACAGGGAGGAGGATATGCCTTTGGGGACGTCAGAAGATTAGCTATAACATTAACCCCCACCCCATAACACACACACACACACACACACACACACACACACACACACACACACGCACACATGCACACTGTTCACTGACGCTTATACACTCCTACCCATAATCCCCCTGTTTGTTACGAGTCACTTCCCGTTTCATGAGACAAAGCAACAGATCATGTGAGTGTGTTTTGTGCTTGTGCTTTTGGTTTTGGTGTGATGAGCTTAAATTTGACACTTTTTTTGTTGACGTTGGAAGCTGAAAAACAGAAGAGCAGTGTTGCGGGTAATGTGAGTATTTGGAGGTGATTAATTTACTGATTTACTGTGTAGAGCATGAAGATTGTACTGTACTGTGGGAACATGTGTGGGGAAAAAGAAGGTGGGGGGGTATCTATACTGTACACAGTGTGCATGTGTTCCATATGCGTGGGGGGAGGGGCTGCTCTTGTGAGGCCATGAGCCGTGCCCTAATAGAATTAATCAATTAATCAGGCTTGGTTGATCAGCTGATGTATGTATTTGTATTCTGCAGTTTGACAGGACACACTTAGCATTATTTATGTAGTTGAGCCTTGCAGACCAAGTCCAGCGTTAGCACAGCAAGTCAATTCCTGATCAATATGTGATCAGGCAGAGAGCTTCTCCGCTGTACTTTATGTCAAGCTCAAGGCCATACAGACCCCTCAGTCTGGTGATTGATTACACACAAACGCCATACTGAAATAACAAATACAAATAAAAAAAACACTAAATCTGCTGAATGTACTCTGTGAAAAGTGAGACGTGTTTTATCTCACTGTTTTGTGGGATCTTCATTTAATATTCAGCACCGTCCCCGGAGTCTGTGTGTCGTACTGTAAGCCAGCGCAGCAGAAATTTGAGAGGAGAGAATAGACAGAAAGATGGAGCGAGAAGAGGCATGCACACACACAAACAGAAATATGGGAGGAATCAGGGACTGAAAAGCAAACAAGCCAAAGCAGAGCCCAGAGCAAAACAGATTATCTCCCTCTATGCTCAAATACAAACACATTGTGAATACATACAAGAAAATCTGTCGTCCATTTCTCTAAATAGTCATCATCTAGCACTAGATATTTATTGCTTTTGAAGCTGTTACTATGATTGATGAAATCTTTTCACACCTCCTTCTCTGATACACTATTGGACTACACACAGCAACACTGACAGTCCATGCAGCTCTTGCTGCTGTTACACTTTCCTTATTCTTCCTTAACTGAATCTGGACCGGTAACATGTGATGAGATTTTTACAGTCTGTGGTTTATGTGGATGGATAGACAGGACCAGGGGAGAGAAGTTCAAGGTCAGATCGTGGATGTTGAGCAGGGTAAATGGACTTCAAACCCCTGACCTTCTGGTTGGAGACGACCGACTCTACCACTGAGCCACAGCTGCCCCCACTCTTTATTTGTCAGCTGGGAATTGATGTCAGACGAGAGTATACTCCTTCACATGGATATCTCGATTGTTTTCAGCCTCTCTTTCTCTCTGTCTCTTCTTCTTTCATCAGAGGAGGGGGACAAATTAGAAGAGTGATGGATGGCCAGTTTCTCCTTCAGGATGCTCGGACATGCAGGCTTCCATGCACATTGGCTGCAGAAAGATGTAGACATAAGGTGTGTTTGTGTGTATGGTTGTGTGTGTTTATGCACATGTTATCCTTAACATATGCTGATATTTTTCCATTCTGCACATGCGACAATTTTGAAAACCATAGCATTGGTTTGGGTTTTCAACTTTAGTGTCAGCGGCATGTACTTAATTACCGTGTATTACTCATGTGTGAGTGCCCACTTACACACACATAAAAAACACACACACATACCACACTCATCCAGCTAATGGATCAGCCTGTCTCTGCTTTTGCTTTGACTTATATTTCACCTCATAGAGGGAGGGAGCACAGCCAACAGGTCCATTACAGAGAGGAAGGGAGAGAGAGAGAAAAGATAGAGATTGTGATGAGGGGAGGGAAAAAAATAAAGAGAGGGGCGGGGACACGGCTGCAGGCGTACTGCGGCAGCAGCCCAGCGGCATGACGTTATAGAGGAGTGGAATGACAGAGAGGCACACACACAACTACACATGCTGGCAGCTCAGAGACCTGCCAGGCAAAAGTAGACAAGAGGCAAAGGCAAAGGACTGAGCCAGCATACAGATCAGACAGAAACTCACTTGCTGCTTTGTATCCTGATGCTGGCAGAGGGTGAGTGTAGCTATGTGGTTATTCTTTTAACTCCGTTTGTATTGCTGATGATGCATTTGCTAAATGACTCTTGCTGCGTATCTATCCATTTTGTTAGTTTTAGTCTGTGTTTTGTGAATGAATGCCAGTTTCTGGAAACAGAGGAATAGAAACCTCATGTTTTTAACAGACTCATTCACTGATAGTGAAATCAGAATCAGCAGTGTGTACAGAGGGATGACGGTAGAGAGAGTGGATGAGAGAGGTTAACAGAAAGAAAGGCAGAGCTTAAGTGTGATGAAAAGAGGGGGGTTGTAGAGAGAGGTGGGGGTATATACCGTAACCAGGGCTGACATGATGTGATCATCCTGAGTCAGCCTTATAGAGCCTGTATGACTCAGTGCAACATAGGGTTAGGGTTAAAAAATGCAAAGTATAGTGTGTCAGAGAGCTGCTGGCTGATGTGGACAAGAGTGGTAGTGGTGAATCAGATTGGAATGGAAGTGTTTGTGCACATGTGTTGGTTTTTCTATGGTTGGTAGTTTGATTATGTTCTGCCCTGTTTAGTTTATATGTTGGTTGCTTGTGTTTGTCTGTCATTGCTGCTGTAATGAGTACCCTGAAAGTGGACGTGTGTCAGACAGATCATTTTCCAATGTTATGAGTGATTCAGATGCTTTCTGTTAAAATCTAGTTTAGCTACTCTGCTGATGACTTCTCAGAGTGGTACTCAAAACATAAACTGAATTCACATTTATATTTTCATCAAATACACATAAAGAACTGGTTCTGGTGCCCTTTGCAAATCTTGATGTGGTACCTTTGAGGACTACAGAATATGTGTCATCGCAGGTCACTGTAGGCCAAGAACATTTCCATTTAGGTCACTGACTCATGATAACATAAACAGTATTCAGTTCAGTTCATTGTTTGAACAGACATTGTGTGTGTGCCTGAAATGATGTTTCCCCCCCCCAAAAAAGATGAGAACACTGATTTTTATCAAAGAAAGTGACTTTGAAAATGAGTCACATGTGTACGGGATGCCCCCGATTGGCTGACAACATTGTTCCTGTTTGTCACAGCTTCCTGTCTCGATGAATGGCGTGGCACTGTGGACCAATGAGAGGGCAGCGGTGAGGATGCAACAGTGATCCAGGAAAAAAAAACACCCCATTGTTCCCCGGGCGTCGTGGAAGTTGGACCTCGCTCCTGCTGGCTCTGGCTGCTCATTGAACAACACATTGAAGGAGCCCATTGACAGGTAAGAGACTCAGGAGGGAGCAGATCTGTCATGTGAAGTTTCATAATAAGCAGCAAGTTGTTCTTTTTTTAAAAACTGAGCCTTTCTAGGAGTACTTACAAACCATTTAACTGTTTTTGCACCTCTGTGTGTCACTATTTCATCACAAGATGATTAATGTCAGCACAGTATCTCTGTCTTATTGGTTGTTGGTCATTAGAAGGGGTACTTACATTCATTTATCGTAGACTTTCCGGAGTGGTTGACACACACAAACACACAGACGGCTTCTAATGTCCTTCAGCTTGCAGACAGAGAGGCCTGTGTTACCACCTCATTTATTGATTTTGTGATGAGTCAGAGGGTTCTCATCACAAGGGAGAGGTTGCGTGTGTGTTTGTGTGTCTGTGTGACAGAGAGAATGTGTGTTTCTTTGATCAGAGGTGCAGACACTGACTTCTGGCTAGGTGTCATGGGACAGAGGCGTTCAAATGGTGTAATGTGTTTAAAGCTAGCTGAAAGTAAGAGTTGCTGCCAGGCTATCCTGACTTTCCTCCTTGAATATAAAGTACAAACCTGACCTACATTTTTTTTTGTTTTTACTGAGGTAAGGCGTTACATTTTCTCAACTTGCTATGTAGAGAAAGATGACCCATAAGACAGAATAAAAGAGAAAGTGAAGGAGTAAGTCCCTGCTTATGCTGCTGTTACAAACAATAACCAGCAGATGTCAGTACTGTCCTTTTAAAACAAGAGTTCAAGAGTTCTTGCTCCACATCATTATATGTTTGCCCTACCAATGATAAATACAATAATATTTCTAATATTCTAATATTCTCTAAAACTGCACTTTATTTTTTTAGTTCTTTCACATTAAATGCTTTTTACATTTTGGAAATTTTGTCTCCATCTAAGAATCTATTTTAAAAATGTATGCATATTTTGTAATTAGACAAAAGGTTTACACCTGAACACATAGTAATAAGCGATGTGATTTATGAACCACTATTTAGAGGATTGATTCATATGTAACCTTCTCTTTGAAGCCAACATGCAAAGGGACTCTGACCTCTGCTTTAAAATTGTTCCTTTTCGGTTTATGTAAAACTTAATTGTTGGTTGGTTTTAAATGATGTACAAACAGATCCATTTGAAGACTTACACGGCCTGGACCCTGTGATTGATCTTTTGACTGTGTCATGATGTTTTATGGACAACCTGATTACTCAATCTGTAAGAACAATTACCAACAGATAAATCAATACGGATCTAAAATTCAATTCTAATTACTACTTACTACCAGGCTCAAACCATGAACCGCCATCTGCCAAAACCAAACCTATAATTGATGATTAAAATCATACAAACGTGGATGCCCTGTGCACAGCTCTGTTAGTCCTTATAGCTTGGTGCAGGTGATGGCAGTAAATGAGAAGTTTTACCACACACAGAGGGCTGAATTATTTCATCTTGTTATTGAATTACAAACCTCAGGTTTGTGAACAATGTTTGTTTGAGTATGTCATTACGAAAAAGAAGAAGTAATTCAGCCCTCTTGTGTGCGATGAATCTTCTCATTTGATGTCAATTTTTAATGATGTTTTGATGGCGATTTTGTGCGTGTTTATTCTCCTCATAGATCTTTGAATTATTTAAAGAAGCTATCTGTATATATATTTTTTTGTTTTTGTTTCTAAATAAGGCAAGCAATAAGCTGGGATCTTTTAAACCAACTACAACTATATCAACTATATTACACTTATGTAACAGATCTATCTTGTCCTTGAGGTCTGCATGGATTTCAGCACATGACTCAGAGAACATCACTACACATGTAACAAACAGTCTTATGTACGTTATGAAAGATAAATTGATTTCCTAGTATTGAGTCGCTTACAGCTGCTAGATTTACTCAACAGAAATGCCTTGTTGTTTCTTGTTTTCCTTTAGATTTCATTCTGCTCATATATACCCTCAGACACCCATCTCACCAGCTGAGCCTCAGTATGTGGTTATGTGGGCTGCAGAAGTACTGGTATGACCCCTGTGTGCCCCAGGGGAATAGCCAATTTCCATACTGATAGACACAGAGCCAGACCACACCTGTGCCCCTGGAAATCCTCGCAGGACTTGTATCAGACGGAGAAAAAACCCTGATGCTTATTAGTGACTCTGCCTCCTGAGAGAAAGAGGACAGATACAGAGTTGGGGGAACGAAGATGAGGAGCACGAGAAAGAATTCAGAGAGAGGAATGAGGGGACAGCAGAATTGATGATCGCATCTGTCTCTGTTTACCTTCTGCTGCATCACTGCTGCCATATGCTGCTGTGCAGGTCTTCATCAGTATGACTCAGCTCCAGTTTTAGTAAAAAATACCCAAATCAGTCAGTCAGTATGTCTGAAATTATAAGTAGATGAAGAAAGAATTCCTAAACTAAATCTAGGCTTTCTTTTATTTGAAACTTATTTGGGTTTGTGTCTGTGTTGAATTTTTGTGCTGAGGCAGTCCAACTCTTCCCTCTGCAGGGACTCAGAAAAGACAGACGGTTTTGCTGACACTGCTGGAGGGTGTGTGTGTGTGTGTGTGTGTGTGTGTGTGTGTGTGTGTGTGTGTGTGTGTGTGTGTGTGTGTGTGTGTGTGTGTGTGTGTGTGTGTGTGTGTGTGTGTGTGTGTGTGTGTGTGTGTGTGTGTGTGTGTGTGTGTGTGTGTGTGTGTGTGTGTGTGTGTGTGTGTGTGTGTGTGTGGTCCACATTACACTGTGCAATATTGCGATTGGATTTGCTGTCAAATAATCCAACATTTTATCCTTGTGACTTGGACGGCTTAATTTGATACATCTCTGCTTTGCAAAAGAAGGCTTCCCAAGAAGTCTTCTGGCAGTGAAATGTCTGCTATTTAAAAAAAAAAAGGGCAAGTAGAGATCAGCGCTAAATCTGTGCATTTGTGAGTCAATGTATAATTATCATCATTCACTCCTCTTGTACTGGACTGTTCCTAAATGAAAGAGCTGTACAGGAAATAGAATGTCATACTGGAAATGCACAGTATATACACATGTAAGTATGTATATATTTTCATGAATGTAAGAACAGCTGTTGACCTGCTCTTTAACATCTGGACAGCAACAGCTACATGTTTTGTTTTCTGTTTTAAGGGAGAAAGTCATATAATGTAGCTTGAGCAGATTTACAGTTACTGTTTTCAGCCTTTATGAGTAAAAGTAAAAGAACAGTATATCCAGACTTTTCAACGAATAGTCAATAATCCCATGTTTGTATTCTGTACACTTATATTTTATATGCTTCTTTACGTCTTAAAACTCAAAACATAAATAATCAATTCTTGAGAGTTTAAAAAAAAAGGGGGCTCTAACAAAAAACAACATCCATGTGGATTTACTTAACTTCTTATCAGCTCTTTCCCTGTAATGATTTGAACTCAAAAGGCAAAATTAGGACAGCAGTAATTCTTAAAAGTTCATCAGTTTTAGCAGTTTCTCTCAGATGCTGTGATCCTTCTCTCTGTACACGTGCTCGGTCCTCCCTTTTCTCCTCCCTCCCCGCCTCTCTTCCAACCTCACAGCCTCCCTCCCTTCCTTCCATTCAGAGTTAGATAGTTAAATTATATGACATTACATGAAATGTTTCACTTGAGCAACATTCGCCGCGGTTTGAGTACAACTGAAGGCCACAAAGGCCATCAAACTGACTTTAAGATATCCTGCCCGGGCTTTGTGTTTCTGAGAGGGCAACTAGAGCTGGAAACAGAGAAATTCAGGTGAGGAGGATCCCATTAAGCCGTTATATCTAAGAGAGCATTGTGTTTGGGCATTGATGTGTGTCCGTGGGAGTCTTTGGGAGTGTGCATTTTAATTCATTATGCTGAGAAAATCGGTTATTTAAAAACATGATGCTCTAAAAGCAGCTGGTAGATGTTTGCTGTGAGTGTCTGTGTGTGAGAAGCTGTTTTTGTGTTGTGAACTCCCAGCAGGCAAATTGGATTGCGCGGACGCTGCATGCCTTACTGAAAATAAGCACAACTCGTGGTTTACCATGACTCAGTTGGTCATATGTGCTTGATTCACAAGGTTGCACAGCATGGACGTTTAACTACATCTGTGTTTGGAACGGCAAGTTCTCCTTTACCTGATGAGATTAGGTTAGAAAATTAAATTTTAATCCAGTGTACTTAGCCTCAAAATGGAGAAACTTATTTCTTTCTTGGAGTTAGGGGGATGAAATTGGAGCACAAACATCAGAATTTAACTGTTTAACTTATCATAGTCATTTCTCTCTCCCTGTGTTTCTCCAGGTCAGTATGAGCGGGGGAGTCAATGTGAAGTTAGCCCCTCGGGCTCCTACCTCTTCAGGGATCCCCCTCCCACACAGCGTGTTGCCCTCTTCCCCCAAAGCAGACACCCGCCGCCAGGCTTCTGACCTGCCCAGGCCCTCAACACGGACCCCCAAACACACACCCACGCACACACCCACACAAACGCCCTCGCACTCTCCTTCACTTTGCCCGCGAAGCTCCAGCATCTCTGGGCCTCTCTCCAGGGACCCGGGCCTGAAAAGTCAGCTCTTAAAGCGGACAGCAGCTCTACCTTTTCCCCAGGTGTCACGCTCTGCCTACAGCAGCCCGTTAAACCAGCGCAGGATGCCGCCGCCTCACTCCAAAGACACACTGGATCTAGTGAAACCTTCGCCTCACAACCCCTCACAGCTTCCACACAATGCAAATCGCAACAGAAAACCCCCCGACAATAAGAACCAAACATGGGGAGGCAGCAACAGCAATCTGCGTCCACCCTTCCAGTTCAGAATAGGAGCCAACTCTAACAGTGAGGTCAAGCCTCAAAGAGAGGAGGGCCTCCTGAGAACCAGCAAGCTAGGTCCACTATGTTGAACAACGGTAACCTCTGCCCCTCTCTCGCTCAAACAAGCTACCAGCAGGCGATCAAAGGTCACTGTGAATCAACGAGCCAATCGGACGAGGAGATGGGCACCCCTGAGGACAGCAGTCCTGTCTCCTCTCCTGGTGCCCTGCATTTGCCACCAGTCACTGTCACCCTGCCAGCAAAGTCCAAAGTGGCTCACAATATGCAGGATCACAGCTTGAAGAACGAGGACGAGCCCACAGAGACACACACGCCCATTGTCAATATGGCTACTGTGGCTCCTTTCAGCTACAGGTAAGTGGTCTGAACCCAAACACACTCCAACACAAAGACAACCAATACAACAGTTTATCAAAATACAATCAATACTATAGTTTATCACGATTTCCATCATGAGCCCCCAACTATTGAGGCCCATTGGAAACCTGTTTTCTTGTTATTATAACATCACCAATATAACTTTGCTCCTGTCACATGCACTTTGCCAACCACTCAGAATACTAGAGCCCCAGAGGGCCTTTTTTGACTTTTCAGCCTAATTACTCTCTATCTTTTCCATCAATTCATGTGTGTGCGCAATGACACACACACACACACACACACACACACACACACACACTCTCTTGGTGCTTTTTGGAGCAGACTTGATTGGTACAGTGTCCTCTTGGCCACCTCTGGGCTGACTCAGTTCTTTACCACACACACATTGTAGCTCAGGATGTGTGGGCTGAAAACAAGAAAAAAGTGAATTTATGTTTTAAGTTAAAAAGTGCAGCGTTACTGCGTCTGGTGTTTTGTTGTCGAGTGGTGTATCGTATCTAAGTAAAACAAATCAATCTGCAAAGAATGTATCAAAGTAGAAAATTAAATGTTGAGGCTTTAGAGAATGCTTGGTATTCCTTTTATAATATAATTGTTTGCAGTACAGTTTGCATTTTCATTTCCTTTATATGCTTTCATGTAAATCAGTGTGAAAAACATGCGTCACACATGCTGCCCTTCATAGCAGACATGATGTTTGATAGCAAATGATGAAGTTGAAGTATTTTTCACAATACCAGATATTTAAAGGTTGTTTCTGCGATGTGCTTACAGGGAACAAGTGCTGGATAGTGAATATTCAGTTGATGACCTGAGTGACTGCTCCTCGGGATCCATAGAAGTGTGCTGTGATGATCTTATAACAGGTAAGACACAGTCACACAAAAGGCATCTCTTTCTCCCTCTCCTGTCAAGTGGAGTTGTTCTGTTATGTATTTTACGTCCTGATTCAAATTGTGATACCAAGACTTGAGAATTAGCAGATACCTAATAGCCCTCGTTACCAGGGTGATTGAACAATCAACATGTGATTTGTGGAAAAACACTTACTTCGAATTTGCTAGCTTTGACTTACTCTGTTGTTTTTTAATATCTTCAAATGTATCGGAACAAATCATTGGCTAAGAGCATTTAGACAGATTCTTAAATGGAAACAGGAAAGACAAGCCAGCGGCCCACCTCTGGGTTCCTTTGTGGAACCTAAAGAGACTTTGTGAAGACTATATTTTCAGCCCCGTCTCCAAGTGGTCAGGTTCAGTTGGTACGGTACACAGTTATTGGTGTTTCCACTGCCAAAATTGGGAAGGGGACAAAAATAACTGATCTGTACCATCCTAATTTTTTGGTACCCTTCTGTTGGGGTGTCAAGCATACCGATCCGACCCTAAAGGTTGGAGCTAGACACACTGCAGTTCATTGATTGGTTGAAAGAATCTTCTCTTCCTATGCAACAGCGGTAATAAAGGACAAACTCAAAACGCACCATGTTTAAATATTCTGCAGATTTAGTGAGAGTCAATTCAAAGCTGTTTTTGTTTTTTGCCACTATTGCCAGCGGGTTGAACCGCCCCATGGACAAACTGAGAAATGCAGAAGAGACCTTCTTAGGAATCATTGATCTTTGTTTACTGTGTCATGTTCTTTTGAATTTATTGGCTGTCTACACTATGTCCCGCCGCTGTGTTTTAGTGACGTGTAAGGGTACAGTTGTGGCTGTACAGGCTGTGGAAATGCAAGCAAGATCAGGGTTTACTGTACCAAACCGTACTGAACCAAACCTGACCGCTTGGTGGAAACAGGGCTTTAATGTACCGTATGTGTGTCAAACTGGCACTCCTGAGTGGAGAGCCATGGCTGAACCTGTAGTTGTGTGTAAGTAGAAGCCTGGGGCTTTGCTGACTACATTGGTTCCTATATGAAGATATGGAAAGATAGATGGGCTCTTAATGTTCATATAAGGAAGATGACAGGGGTGATGTGAGTCAGTGTTGGTTCGAAATGGGGCACTCGTCCACTCGCTACCAGCGTGTTTTACATCGCACATTCGTTTCAGCTTCATACAAGATCTGTCAAGAAGTTTGAACTTTCTCTCCAGCTCTCCATCTCTTGCACTTCCTACCCCCTCATTACTTCTTTTCAGTTTCATTGACCTAAAAAAGCCAGCATGACTCCCCCTCCCTCCCTGTCCTTTTGAGTAATGGATTGCTCTACACCCACAGCTCTAGTCATGCGTTGTGGCGGTCAGTCTGAGTCCTGGGATGTGGCCGTGCTTCAGAGATATGACTTTATCAGTGGGTTAGTGAATCATCCTTTCTGATGTGGTGTGTGTTGGATGGGAGGAAACCAACATTACAGTGCAGAGTTAGTATTAAACTTTAATGACAAAATCTCCCCCAACTCTGGCACGTCTGACTGTGTAGTCAGCAAGTACCACATTTCAAGTAAATGTATTTATCTTAAAATCAGAATTTTAAATTCTGTTTAACGCCGAAAGGCAAGAAAACAATCAAAAAATATTCAAGTTTAGAAACATTTCTTTAAAATTGTTTACGGATAAACGATGTACTGTGGTTTGCTGAATGTGGCGAACGTAAGCAGCGCTAGCAGCATCAGCTTCCTGCAGCTTCACATCCCCATTGCTCCGGTCGATATGCCAGTTTAACCTGACACAGCCTACATACAACTTTATCTCTATTATCTAGTTTAATATCTTTAGGGAATTTGAAGAAACAGACCCAGCTTTTCCTTAAATTCCAGCATCAAGGGAAGATACACCTTTGGAATAAAGGCATAGCTAGCTAGCAAAAAAAACGTATAGTACTGAATTGTGCTAAGGTACATCACCTTAGCACTAGGTACTATGCATCATTGAACTTGGCCCTACTACTGATCTAGCCTCCCAAAATCTGTAGTTGGAGACCAGACTGGAGCTGTTAGCAAATAAAATCCTTTTAAAAGCTTTTCGGAGGTTTCAGCCAGCTGGTTGTGAAGGGGGGATGGGAGCGCCTGGTGGACCAGCCCCAGTCTTTAAAGGCCTCTGGCTGTCTTGAGACTGTGGTTTTGGCCTTGTAATTGGTACCTAAAAGGCGTTTGAAACAGAACTGAAGTGTCTTAGACACCTCTGAAGCTGCTTTTACATGGAGGGTGGGCTGACACAGTAATAACTGTAATTTTGGGAGCTGGGGAAGGGAGGAAAAGAGGGAGGGAAGGAAGAGAGAACGGGTGAGAGGGGTGAGAGGTAAAAAACGGATAGCTTTAGTGGGTTGATGGATTTGCTTCTTTGTAAGGATGAAAGAGAACAAACAGAACAACATGTTCATGCAGTTTGAAAATTTAAATTGAACTTTAAATATGTTTTTAATGACTAGGTAAAAAAAAACGTTTTCCACTTATTGAATGTTGACCATATGCTAAACTTCACTAAGTGAGCATCTGCAGTAACATAATCAGCTCTTACAGGCTCTTTCCAAGACTCTAATGAAGACCTGAACATTTAATGTGACTGTAGCACCACGTGGTCGTTCAATTAGACCACAGACCTCTTGACCTTGTCGCTCTCTGGAGAGGTGTATTTGAGCTTGCTTTCCTGTCTCAGCATGTGTGTGTATGTGGGCTGATGTGTGCATATATGACAGTACACAGATGGTGTTTGAAAGATGAATGTGATGTGTGGACTCTGTATCATTTTTCATCTCCCAGTGAGGGTATGGCCTTATATTCCCCATGGACTCTCTCAAAGCCAGTTAGCCCTCTCCCTCTCTCTCTCTCTCTCTCTCTCTCCCTCTCTCTCTCTTCTCTCTCTCTCTCAGTCACTCTCTCTCTCAGTCACTCACTCTCTCTCACACACACACACACACACACACACACACACACACACACACACACACAAGTTTAGAAGAGGCCATGATTAACTTGTTTTTTGAGTAATATAAAACACATTTATATTTCTTGGAAAAATGCACTCCCCAGATGTGGGATTGACGCGCTACTTTGAAATAAATTCACTAAACACATGATGTGTTTGTCAAGGCAATCCAAGACTTTTGCTCAGTGGCTATGAGCCAATTTATACTCTGTCATATGGTGGCCATAATGACCCCAGTTGCCTTGTTGTATTCTTGAAATTATTTTGCACATAGTTGATGATCAGTTATTCAGTGTTGCTAAATGTAATGAAGACTGTCTTGCAAAAAAATGATCACATCTTATGTTCATGAAGGTAATGACTTTACAATGAAATTCACTAATTCAGTTTATACCTACAGTCTATGGTTTATAAAAAAGTAGTAGTTTAGAAATGCTCATCAGATCCATGAAACATTAGCCAGAAGAGACATTTTAAACTATGTATTGGTGATTTCAGGTTTGGTTTGCAGGACTCAGATGTTAGATTACTTTAGTCATAGCTAGGTGTTACTTCTAAACTGGTATCTGGTAAGTGGCTTAGTTCTTATATAGCCTACATTAAGTTCACTAAAATAGATCGGAGCCCATCTGTGATGCAACAATGTTTATTTGTTTATTCGTTACCAAATATGAACAAGTTTGTCCATATTGTTTTAGTGAAACAGTTTAAAGCAAACTTTGATTTAGACATTTTTTCTTGTTCACTATAACTATTTAAGTTGCCATTTCAAATTTCTTATTTTCACTGTAAGACTTGAAATAATAAGAATGTGTCAGAGTGGCACACACAAAGATTTTTATAACTAAAGATCACTTTCTATAGTCCATGGAAACAGCTATAATGGCATCTTGTTTTACTCTCATCTCAGTTTGAATCCTCATGTAAGGAAGTACATTTTGAACCCCCCCCTTGTGCCATTCACTTTTAGAAGAGCCATAGTCAGCAAATCTTTTGTAATGAAGGTATGAAAGCAGCATCCCTTTTAATACCCCTGCACAGCCTGGTGAATAGCATTTTGATAAACCCCGCTGCATCAACTCTTAGAGAGTGCATAATCCTCTTTGGCCAATCTAATCAGAGAGACATATGCCGAGTTGGCGCTCGGACAGTGATGAGTGGTTTAGTAGCTTTGGGAAGATGATCAGACATAAGCGTGCTCTAGATTATGTGCCCGCTCATCACCAGTGAGTGGGGCAGTAATCACTATTTAGGGTTTAATGTCATCCCCAACACTATGTTTGACCCTAACTTTGACATGTCAAGAGTTCTGTAGACCAGTGCTGGGACCAGCTGAAGTCATGGCCTGTCTGTTTGTGCTGGGATGACTATTGTTAAGGCATGAGTGTAGGAAAGTAAATGTCTTAAACATGTATGTAAGCATATGCATATGTAAAGAGAAAAACATTCACAGAAACCAACATAAGAGCTGACAGAGCTGCCGACTCCTCCTGTCTCTTCCTCCTCCTCCTGCCTTATTGTCTGCCCAGGGACATTTCCTCAAACTGTACGAGGCTCACAACAATGTCAACATTGAGAAACACTGAGAAAAAGTGAGAATGGGTGGATGAGTGCACACACCCATGATCTTTTTTGACCTCTGGGGTGACTCCCAACCAAGGGAGTCAAGTTCCTGAGTCAGTCATGTGTGTAACATCCTCTTGTCTCTGTGGGAAGAGACACACACCCATGCACACACAGTTATTTGTCAAATTAATAACCCATAGAGGATCTCGAACACACTCAAAAATCAGCACACTAGTTGGGTGAAGATTCCTGTTGTTGATGATTTCATTCATCCATTTATATTCACCTAGAAATGTATACACAGTTCTTCTACTGACATGAGCAAAATTATACATGAACACACACAAACAGTAGAGCTGATGATATCCAGCCCTGCTGTATGCACACCACGCTGTAACTAGGCAACCAGCCTTGGCTGCACAGCATTGTGGGATACCCCTGGGAAGTGTGCAAAGAATGTCAACACTGACTTCTACAAGAGAGCTTATATAAAAAGCAATATCTTTAAAACAAAAATACTCATACTCATTCTTTTGAAATTTTTGGTATATTTCCCAGATGGAAGTTGGTGTGTTTTTTTTTTTTTTTTAGCTCTCAGCTGTGTGTGACTCATGATGAGTGTGAAACATTTGTCCCCTGAAAGAATGGTGTTTTTGTTGGATTAACATTTGTGCCTCCGGAATCAGGACCTAGTGTGAGTGATACACATACATTTGTAACGGATAGCCTTTAAGTGTCTGAATTTCCCAAATGCTCAAGCCAATGACTCATTTAGTGCATCATCAGCACGGAGTGAGACCACCAAAGATGTGTCACAGTGGGACAACATCCTCTGTCATTCACACATACACTTTTGAGTCACTCTCGGAAGCCACACACTGTATGTATCAGGTTGCCGTCTCAGTATTTTGTGTGTAAACAGGACATTAATAGCCATGTTATTGTGTAATGCAGTGTGTATACCCTTGTGGATGTGTGTGTCACAGTCTGGTTATTCATCCCTGTGTCCTGTGGACCCCATGCGTTAGCGAGTTAAGGGACATAAGCGAACGTAGCAGGAGTGGTGAAGTGTTGAGGCAGGATATCCCCTCTCTGTCTTACAGGCTTCCTCTGCTCCTCTGGCACCCATTCAGAGATCCTTCCTCAGCCGTCCTCTTCCTCCCCCTCCTCCTCCTCCTCCTCCTCCTCCTCCTCCTCCTCTCACTTTCCTTATCGTGTTTTTTTCTGCATTATCATTTAACATGCTTTTCCTTTTTCCTCACTTGCAGCATCCTAAGGCTTCTATTCTGTCATGGGGTCTGCTGTTTTTTCCTTCTCCATTTGATCACATTTTCTTCATCTTCTTATATGAGTCAGACTCACTCTTGTCATTTTCTCTCACTTCATCAGCCCTTTCACACTACTTTCATCTTTAGAACAACTTTTTTAAAAATTTTACTCTGACACAAAAAGGCAAAACAAGAAGTGGGTGAACGTGCGAACGCATCCCATCTGCTCCGTCAAAGGTTTAAGGCGCTCTGATACAATCGTTACATCGAAAGCATGAGTGCTTTCTTCGTCTCTTGCAGTACTTTTCCTTTCAAAGCGACCTTGTGTAACCTAGTAAACATGTGCATAATGCACCACACAACGTCCGTCTGTGTGTGTCCTAGCAGCTACTTCAAATAAATGCTCTGTGGAAATATAGAGGAGAATCTGTTCATAACTGTTTAGAGGTGCTAGGGCAAATATACCAGTCAAAGGACAGACACCAGCTGCCTTTTTTTTACCTCTCTGTCTGTCTGCCTGCCTGTCTGTCTGTCTGTTTGTCTGACTGACTGTCTGTCTCTCTGGCTTTCGCTCGCCTTTGCTTAAAAGTTTCTTCATGTGTTTGTGGAGCTGTTTTGCTGCTTTGGCCACTGTGGTCATCTGCACTACCACAAACACACACACACACACACACACACACTTGTGACGTACTGAATGTGTTGGTCTCCTCTCCTATGAATGGGTAGGCTAATACTGAGAGCACTGGCACTCATCGCACTCTGGAACTGCCAGTTTCTCTGATGTCTGGCCATATTGCTCAGGTCAGTCAGACACCCCGCACAGACCGCATGCTGTGTGTGCGTGCGTGCGTGCGTGTGTGTGTGTGTGTGTGTGTGTGTGTGTGTGTGTGTGTTTGTGTAGGTAGAAAAGGAGTAAGATTACAGGTTTACATCAGCCATATATTAAAGTGATTAGTCTGGGGAGCCAGAGAGACGAGTATTTGAACAAACAAGTAGCTGTGTGCTGCCAACGCGCAGTTTTCCTCTGCGTGTGTGAATACCAGCTTTCAAGTTCACTGACGTGTGTCTTTGCCCCACATGCAATCTGTGCACAACACAAACCTACCTTGTACGCTGTCAGTTTTGTTTAACGCACCTTAATTCCTCATCAGGGAGATATAAAAGCTGGCATACAGCACCTATTGGCCTTAAATTACACCTTTTACCCACTTCTGGCCTGCTACCAGCCCCCGAAAGTGCCACATAACTGTCACTACACAGTTTTGGCCTCAGTGTGTTAAAACCACCTTAACATTGGCCCTTTATTAAAGCTAGGCACTTCAAATTAATGGCTTCTGCCTCTACACAATAACAAGCATATGCGTGTTATGTTACTGAGCTCCTTTGTTAAACTCTCAGTCAAGGCCAGATAGATGCTGGCTTGTTAGAAAGTGTGCTGTATTAATAACTATGTGTGTTGTTGTCACTTTTAGATTGAATATGTGCCATTTTTGGCCATCAAAATTCAGCCGTTTTGAAAGTTCCTCTCTGAGTGTGGAGTTTGAGCAAGCAGGACCCCGCTTGTTTGTCCTCTGGTTCAGTGTCAACCAATTTATGCAAATGTAACGGAACATGGGCATTTACCCAACAGCATGCGCATTTTAAGACTTCTAACAGTTTGGGATGTGATAACATCATGGCTTCAGGCATTGTTGGTCACGTACAAAAGAAGAGTGGAGTGCACTAACGGTAATACACCCAGAGCATAAACACTAACTCCAACAGTTAAGCTACCTGGAAGGGTGCATTAATACACAAATACAGATCCTAGTGCAAACAAGTTTATTGATCGTTAATGTTGGACTAAAGGTTTATTTTATGCTCTGTCATCATGATTCCCTCTAATGGGAAAAGACTAATGAGATTTTATTCCTACATCTCTGTTAATGTCCCTCTCTTATCGTATCCTCATCCAGCACTGTGTGTTTCGAGGAAATACAGATATCGATTCCGTTGGTATTTTGCAGCAAAGGAAACAGCTCACACAAGAAGACAGAGTAAAACAAGGTAAAATAGCGTTGGAGGAAGAAGAGTGTGAGTTTCTCCTGTCTTGATTTAGATGGGACGTCCACTGCGAAGAGATGACGTATTTAAACGTGCCAGAGCTAACTGAGTTCCTAGATTGGAGCTTTGTCTTCTCTGTGAGAGTCTCATCAATGTGACACCCTCATGGAGACAAACCCACTCACACACACTGATACACATTCAGGGGTGGACAGACACAAATATAGACACCAACAATACTCATTCACAAACCCACACATGCACACGTGTTTCGAGGTATCATACTAGTCGTGCTGTGAGATAGATGAGACAGTGTTTAATCTGTATCCGACAAATTGAATAGCCTGTGCATCTATTAACTGAAAGGGGGGAGGGGTGACATACAGTAAGTCTGGAGGAAATGAGACAAGAGGCATGTACATGAGTGGAGAAGTAATATGATGCAGGTGGGAGGTTGTGTGGTGATCATTTGAGGTCTGTTGGCTGCTAATTGAACCATGATTAGTGGCTGACCCCTCCCACTGTGTATTAGGGGACTTGTAAATGTGTGTCCAGTTCCCCTCTTCTAAGCTGATCCTGCCGTCACGGCAGATAATTTGAATCAGTTAAATCATGGGTGGGCCTCTCGTGATTAGGGCACATAAGAATATCTGAATCTGAATGTGAATGGATGAATAGAGCAGCTAATGTGATTATGAGTGATTGAATGTGCATGTGTGAGTGTAGTGGTTCTTTAATTCCGAGTACAATATTTAACGATTAGGTTTATGTGAGTCAGATGATGCTGACATCAATATGAATTTTTTTTTTCTTGTCTTCCTTTCCTTCCCCTGTCTATCTTTATTTCTTTCTTACGTCCTGTCATTTTTTCTCTCTCTCTCTCTCTCTCTCTGGCTGTCTTTCTTCGTCACTGGTGTGTAGCATAGCACGAATCTGCAGTTTGTATTTTAGAAAGAGAAAACAAAAGCGAGAGAGAGAAGAGAGAGAGAGAGAGAGAGGATCGGCGAGTGAATCAGCCAGTGGGAGTATAGAGAGCGAGAGACAACAAGAAAGGAGGGAAGGGTAGAGGGGGAAGAAGGAAAAGGGAGGGTGAATGAGCCAGCGGGGGTTGACTGAGCAAACCAGCGAGTAAAGCAGCGATAGAGGGAGGAGAAAAAGAGGGAGGGGGGTGGATGTTGCTGCTGCTGCTGCTGCTGCTGCAACTGTTTCTCCTGTCAGTCGGCTGCCGCTTGCCTGGCGAGCGGTTGGGAATACAGAGCGAGAGAGAAGCAGTGAGGGAGACAGAGAAAGGGGCTTCTCTGTGCTGGGTTTTTTTATTGTAGCAGCGGCTATTGTGGCACAGGGAGCTGCAGACACGCTGTGAGGGAGTGGATTTAGGTGCTGGACAAAAATCTGCATATCCATGGATTTCCAGAAGTGAGTAAGGATGACTGCCTATGCCACCCACTAACCCACTCAATCATTTGAAACACAGGGGTGAACACACAGGCTTACACAGTCAGGAGTCTGCCTCTGTCTGGATCCACAGGAGACATAGAGCAAACCTGACAGGCCTGATGTTCCTTCACCTTTCCTTCTCCCCCTTTCTCCCTCCTTTTCTGTCTTTCTGGTGTGTGTTTCAGAGTATGTCATTGATGCTGTTGCTTGGCTCTCTGCAGGAGGGATGCTGGAGGCTAATGTGGCTAACATTAGCTTGACGGCTAAGCCCAGAGAGCTGGACATGAGGTCCGCTGCTGCTGCTGTCTCCTGCAAGGAAACTCCAGCCCAGGCAATGGCCTCTAGGAAGTCCTCAGCCAAGCCATCCGCTTTACCCCAGGGACCCTCGCGTCCCTCAGGGGCATCAGAGCTCAAAGTCTACCGGCCCGCCTCTGGATCTATTCCTATACCAGTCCCCAATCTGTCCGGGCTCCGCAAGCAGCGATCACTAAGCAACCTATGTGTGCTCACTGATGCTGAGAAGAAGCTACACCTTTACCAATCCCCTCGCTGGAATGATGATGCCAGCCGGCCTGGCTCTGGTACTGGCATAAACAAGCCAGGCCAGACTAAGACAGTTCATGCTGGGGGTGGGAAACCTCCACTTTCCCGGACCCTGTCAAAATCAGAACAGTCTCTTTTCCAGGGAAAGCCCAAGCCTTTCTGCTTGCCATCTGTGACTTCCAATGTGAGCAAGCAGAGTCGGATCCCTGCCCCTGGTAAACCGCGGGGACCTTATGCTGAGGTCAAGCCCATCAGCAAGGCCCAGGAGGCAGGCCAGAGTACAGACCCTGCAGACAAGCAAACTAAGACTAACTCCAATGGATCTGGGAACACTGGGAACACTGGGACTAATGGCAAGAAACTAGGCGAGGGGGAGAAGGGGAGACCCGTGGCTCTGTCAACAGAGGACAAGAAAGAGAAGAAGGGCATAGAGGGAGAAGATGATAAGAGCTTTCTGAAGGTGGACCCAGAGCTAGTGGTGACTGTTTTGGGTGACCTGGAGCAGCTTCTCTTCAGTCAAATGCTGGGTAAGTCTGCTAATTTACCAAAATTCATGTGTGAAAATACACAGCTTCAAACATCTTCAGGTGGGGAGATAGTCTGTACTGTGGTATTCTGAACAACAACAACAACAACAGTTTTCTTATTGATTGAGAGTACACTGAATAACAAAAACATCCTCTCCTCTCCACACCCAAACCGCTCGCCCATGCTCTCACTGAGCTCCAGCATCAACAGTGAATTTTAAATGAGGCTCTATTGCAGCAGAGCATAATGTCAGCATGTTTTTTCACTACATGCCGCTGAGAGCTCTCGCTCTGTAGCTGGCCATTCCCTGTTTACATCACTATATCGTTCAAAAACACAATATTTTTGTATGTGTAAAATGAACATATGGATCTGTGAAAATGTGTGCGAGGGTTTTTACTCGAACTGTGTGCTCCATGAAGAAGCAGAATGAAGAGTTCCAGAGAACTGGCATTGTTTTGCTGCTGCTTCATTTTGCAAACACAGGAGTGTTTTGTCCCTGTCTTGCATGACCCACTGCCACAGTGAGCCAGTTAGACATTTACCTATTAAACATCAACTACATCCTCCCACGCTAAAGCTTTCACAGTTTTTTTCTTTCACTCGACGAACATGTAGGCACAGGAGCATTATGTTGAAATTGTAAGAGGTCCACGGAGGCTTGTATGCATCTATGTGTGGGGTAGTTAAGACTGCAGACAGCATGTTACATGTTAATACTGCAGCCTCAGCGTTTCTTGGCTTGCATCAAAATCAGCCATTCGTTAATAAAGGCCGTGTGAGTCGGGGTAGCAGGGTGTGTGTTTTCAGTTGGTAAATAAAACGGCTTCATATTGAGTCAGGCTCTGGTCACAGTGGGCCACATATTTAGCCTTGCACCACTCCCCTCACCCCGTTCCTCCCTCCTCCCCCTCCAGCTCCATTGATCTTCGGGCGACTGACAGATGGTCACCATCCACCCCTCCAACCCCCCTCCCCTCTTTGCCCTGTTACTGGGGGCAACGTGTAGGAGAGATGGGAATCTGAGGGGAGGGTGACATGGGCAGGTAGTCAGCCGGCCAACGTTCACACATAGACATGCACACACATACCCAAATGAATACACACTGTAACACATCTTAGTTGATGGTACAGGTAAACACATACTGTCTGGCAAGTTTTAGCTGATAGGGTTGTCTTTCAGAATGATGACTGAGTTTATGACTAACGGGTCAAACAAGGCTCAAATCTGCACCTAAAATCCATTATTTATGATGGCATACACACTCCCTGCATTTCTGTTCTTTCCCTCTCTATTACTCATTCACTTTCCATCCCTAACTCTCAGCAGCTGCAGATATCATCAGAGAGTGACGCTGATGGAGGGAGAGAACATTAATTCTAGCTTGATGCAAGGAAATCATTTTCTGTTCATCATCAAACCTCTTTCTGTCTTGTCCCTTCCTCCTCACTCTTCTTTCTCTCCTCACCAACCTGCCTCCTGCAACACGGCCCCAAATCACAGCTTCTCTGACCTTGCATTTGTGTGTGTCCAATGTGGTGTGTGTGTGTGTGACTGTGTGTGACCTTGTGTTTGCTGGCCCCACCTATGCCAGGCGGCCAGTTAGAGAGAACGAAGATCTGGATGAAAACATAGACAGAAATGGAGTGAAGTTAGAGGAGAGAAAGAACAACTGACATATATGGGTAAAAAGTGAAATATTAGTAATAGCTTATGATCCTAATTGTTACCCAGCATCTCAGGAGCCCAAGTGCTTGTTTGGGTCTCACAGTCGCTTGCCCAACCTTCCAAACCTTTATCACAGAACAGCCGTTGTGTAGAATAGTTGGTCAGTACACTACACTGTGTGTGTGTGTGTGTGTGTGTGTGTGTGTGTGTGTGTGTGTGAGTTAGAAAGAGGTTAATTGTAACTTGCCCTGCAGCTTGTGGTGGTGGGCTCATCTTTTATTGTATCTGCTGCTCCTCCTTTTCTGATGGGATGTGCGGCTAATTGCTTTCTGCTCAGTGCGCTCTTTCATAGTAAGATAGATTATGGATATTCAGTGGCTCATTCCCAGTGAAACACTCTTCTTTTCCCATACACAGTCCTTCCTCCTCCTCCTCGTCTGCTTCCGATAAACAACAAAGACACAGCTTGTCATTGTACGGCGTGTATCATATCATGATGACCTTAATATCTTATGGAAGCTCCATGTTAGCTGTTAGCTGACTTAGCTCCAGGGGGTAAAATAAGCATCATTGTCTTGAACTTCTTGTCTTGTTGTGTGACATTGAGCAGCATGTGCTGTCACACTGTTCTTTTGAGATTATTAGGCTACAGTTGTAGGCGATGATAATGGACAATGCGACAGAGGTCTAATCAGTGTATAAGCCGCGAGCTATCGGTTATGAATTCAAAAGAGTTCACCACCCTTTCGCAGAAACTCACACACTCAACGAAGACAGGGAACAGAACGAAACAATCCAGGATATTTTAAGATTACGTCTCATATTTTACTATTTGTTTATCTTGCAAGATTATTTAGGATTATAGTGTCTGAATTATCTGTTTTCCTGTAATCGCACATCCTTGTTTTACCACTGAGTGATTAAGAGCTCTCACTTAATTGGATTTGGAGAATTACTTGTGTGTCTAAGGGCTTGCAGCGATAATTCCCCCGAACCCAGCATGTTTTTTACTATATCTTGTTAACAGCATTAGCATCATATGAGCAGAGAATGATAAAGTCTGTAAATTCTGCCTGTAAAATCAGTCGACCTGAAAAGGCACCTTGTAAAGCAGCTAGTAGCTAGGCTTCCAGGATATTCTAAAAGCGGTAAATCTCAGATGTGTGCCACTAATGACACCTCCCGGTCCCATCCAGCACCCATAATGAGGTGTACATGTGAAAGAGTAAGCGCCCCGCAGCAGTGGCCTTTCCCAGCATGGGGCCAGGCTCAGTTCACTGGGATCCTCTCTAAAGTCACAAGCAAGCATTGTGTGGGATTAGGCCTTTCATGAAGATAGAGAAGATTCAGCCTCCATTCCACTAATCACGGATCTATCACCCTGGAAAAGACCAGCCATCAAGACCAAAATGAATTACAGATTAAAGCCCAAAGGACATCTGCTTGGTCGGAGATTTGGGTATTTGGGGGAATTTTACTTTGTAAAGGATCAGATAGAGAAAATAGATTTAGGCTGGAAGATTGGAGAAGTCGTGTGGGTTTGGTGTTGGCCTAGCTGATAGTAGAAATTGGGGGACTGTGTCAGTTTCATCTGACTATAAAGAACCAAATGCAACTCAGTCACACTAGAGAGCTTATAAAAGTAGCCTTGACTACCAGAGCTTGTTATTTTAGCGTGACATTGTGTCATGTGTGGGTATGTTTGTGTGGTTGATGGTTATTCCAACATCCTTGTCAGCTGTCTGTGGAACAAAAAACCCTACAGAAAAATCGACAAAGCCTAAAAAGAAACACACGCGCACAATCCTTTTCAAGTCAACTTAGCAGCTCTGCAGGAAATAACAACAAAGCGCTGCAGCTTTAAGCGCTGAAAGCGAGCACACACTGAATGTGTGCCAAATTTGGTCACTGATATCTGCTTCTCTCTCCTGCATTTATCCTTTTGGCCATGACAGGATATTTTTCATACTCGAGCCCTCCATTGTGAAGGCAGTGCTGAGTCTCTAATGTGATGCGGGTGCGGGCAATTCTACCCCCAGCTTCGCTGACTGAAGGATTCGGGGCACTCGTCCTCTCCAATCGAGGAGGTGGTGACAAGCCGAATAAACACAAACGCCCAGGGAAAGTGAGGAATAAAGCATCCCCTCTCCCTCGCTCTCTCTCTGTTCCTCCTCCTGTCTTTCAACTCTGATTGGAGTTGACGTGTAGCAGTGTTCTGTCACCAGTCAGACAGCAGGGAGGATATTTCAGGAGGAGGACAGAGGACGTCTTTTTAGTGTGGCAAGGATTCTGTCTATTCATAGTTAGGAAGCATATTGTATATATGCATGTTTGTATGATTTAGCATTTTTGATCTCCATTGTTGTGTTTGTGTGTATTTGCGTGCGTTTGCAATGCTCTGTGGTCGGTCTCTGAGGACTTAACGCAGGAGCCATTGCATTAGTGCTGTCTGCTTCCGGCCTTCCGCCTTCTAAATCATATTAGTACTCTCTCTGCTGTTTTGTCTCATCAGCCCTCGTGCAACACAAACAAACACATGCTGCTCAACAATGAAGTTATTATACAATAACATCTTTTTGAAGCCATCAGCTTGTTTGTAGCAGGTCTGTATTTTCAAATGTATCTATTGATGTTTGAGAGATTTAAGTGCTTATTGATGACACTGGAGCACTCACGCTTACTACAATTACTTTAAACTGCTACCATTTGAAACGTGCATGCAGAAACCGAGCGTAAGTATCGGTGCGGCTGTGGTTCAGGAGCTAGAATCGTCGTCTCTCAACCGGAAGTTTGAGGGTTCGATCTCCAGCTCCTGCAGCTACATGTCCGATGTTTCCTTGGACAAGACACTTAACAGTGAATTGTGTATGAATGGGATTAGTTACTTCTTCAGTGTGTGAATGGGTGTGGCATGCGGTCGAAAAGCGCTTTGAGTCGTCAGAAGGCTAGAAAAGCGCTATATAATCTCAAGTCCATTTACCATATCATAATAAAAAAGTTGAGATAATTAGAGAAAACCTAAAAACTAAATGATACAGACCAAAGCCCCTCTCAGTATGACATGCAGCTCTCATGTTAATAACATTACATTTATGGGTCTGTTTTTGTTGTTGTGTTTAGGTTTCTCTTTTTAGCTCATATATTTTCTTACTGGGCGTTACCAATCAATAACAGACACCATTGATCTTTTTATTGTAGTCTCAGTTAAAGTAAAAATCAAATGCAGCAAAGTAAAATGTCATACTTTGGTGTTTATATATATGGCATGACATGTAGCGACCAAAGGAGCGTTATGTAAGCTGCCCTTTAAGACGACTCTTTCTTCTTCAT